GACCACCGGTGGGCGGAGCCAGTGGATGGGTTCTTTTAAGCTTCTGCTTGTGCTGAAAACTTATCCAACAATGACAGTTTAAAAAAATATTAATTAACACAAGCCCATTTTTCTGGGGGCGGCAGTAGAAGAACGTGCAGTCTCATGGACTGTGAGCGAGAACGTGAATGGACTGATAAGATGGGACATGGACCCTGAATGTGTCCCCCACAGCCTCGTACTAGAACCACCGGAGCTCACGTGGTTTGGCTGAAGAAAAGATTAGTAATGAGAGGTACCAACAACAACAAAAAAAAGATAATCCTTGACTCCTGTTAAAGTCTTCCTGTGCTGAGAGTTTTTTATTTATTTATTCTCCTGCTGCTCTTCACTCAGTTCATATGTGGGAGTCATGTCAGTCTGCATACCACGACCTCAGAGGTCAGAGCTGCGAAGGACAAAAATGTTGATTAGGCAAGGAGTGAACCGTGAGTCACTGGAAGAGATGAGGAGTTTCTGTCTACATACAGCAGGCTGCACAACTCATCATTTTATTATAAGTAACAATTTCACCAAAAACCATTTGAATTACCAAAATTAAATGGAAAAATTAAATAGTTTAAAAGCATTCTAACATACAAAATGAAAAGCTGTGCATGCAAAAGCTAATACTATATATCCGTCTTCATGAAGTCATTGTTTTTTTGTCCATCCTTCATGACCAAGCAAAGATGGCATCCAGCAGAACACAGAGCTGACAAGCCATCAGAAGGACACACCAGAACCAGAGGGATCACAGAAGAATACAGAATACCCCATTTTAAGCCTAATGTTCTCCACAYCTGATTGGCTCTTCTGATATTTAACAGAGCAAGGCCAAACATCAGGAACCCTCCAATCAGCCTCTCCTCCTGCCCTCTGCACTCCCATGAACACTAAAAGTTGCAATCCAGACCTCCTGTGCCCCATTCTTTATTCCCGTTGAGAAAAAAAAAACAGTTTAGAAGCACTAAAGAGGGGAGTTGAGTTATATCCGTCTAAACTGTGAGAACAGTGTCACTTTTCCACAGAAGTTGGTTCTTACTCCAGTCCAGGATATAAAGGAGGGCTATCTGTTTCTACAGTAAAATTGTGTTTTTAATAATGCATGAATGTTCTGCCTAAATGGCTCACAATAGAGCAGTTCAAGGTTTCAATCTTCAAGTATTAGGCTGCCCTGTGCCTGCAGGAGCAGAGCTAACAGCAGACACTCTTCTTGTTCAGAGGAAACGTGTGAGACACAGAGGGAGTCTGCATGTCACAGTGGGCTCCGCGGTGATTCTGGTTCCGTGAGAATCGGCCTGCTGCTGCCAAAAGCTGACTTCTGCAGAGATCACTGACGYCATGTTAGATGAATTATAATACTGTTTCAAGATGCATCTTCTCTGAACTGTTTGACCCAACRATAAAAACAAAACCAAAGATGGCACAAAACGTGATRGCTCAAAGATTTGRATATGGAGTTCTGTGGAAAAGSTATGAACAATTATATCTTACCTGCTGTTGCTCTATGGCAGAGTGTATTTCTGACCAGACTGACAAGCGAACAGCTAATCAGTGCAATTACAGACTCTCCAAACTGATGTTCAAAGTGCTATCTACAATAGGTAAGATAACAATTGCTTATGTATCCACAAAACCCCACTTTTATAGATTTGAACTATTGCTTTAACTATAAAGTGCTGTTAAAACATTTAGCCTTCTAGAAAAAAACAATTAAATACTGGGTTCCCTTTCTATAATTTCACTGGATTTTATCCTCTATTATGTAGTAAATTAAATATTTAATCCTAATAATATATGAATTATTTATTACTCAGTTAACGGTTGTTTCAGACTAATGATTATGATTCAAATTATTTAAAGTAACTGTAACATCCAAGTTATAAATCCCTGATGTACATAGTTTTTAAATGTAAAAAGCTGTGAGACGAAAGTCAAGAGACCTCTTTTCTTGGTTCCTAAAGTTCTTGAGGTTTTTCTGCATCACATAAGAAATCATCATATCCACACCATCTGACTGGTTCCTACCRTTCCTGGAGCTCTGGGCTTGTTGTTGTTGTTGTGAAACGCCAGCATGACGTCCTCATGGACACGATCCAACAGCCAGAGGAGGAACTCCAGGGCATCATGCTGGGAATTTCCACGAAACTGTGACCCGTGCTTGGACACAACAGTCTGGGAAGGAGAAGAGGAAAATCAGCTTCTGCATCTTCTTAATTATGAGCCTTTTCCTGAACATGAATAATGTTGGTTTAGTTCTACAGACAGATTTTCTAACAGACAGTCTAGCTGAAGTAACTGAATGAGCAGTGGGTTTTTTCGGCAATTTTCTAAAGTAAACTTTGTTTAAAGAAATCCTACAATGTGTGCTAAAACTCTATAAATGATCGTCACTTTACCTGAAGCAAAAGCAGTTCAGATTTTGGATCTTTAAAGTCTGTTTCTGATGAGGGTGGGATGGTGCGATTTTGTATGTGTATGTTTGGGTATTTGTCAGGCTGCGGTCTGGGCTGCCCCTCCTGCTAGTTTATCTGGGGGCCCGCTGCTACTCGGCCCCCCGGTGGGGTGTGCGGCTGGCTGCCGGTGTGCTGGGGGTTCCCGGGGTATGGGGCTGGGCGCTGGAATATGTGCCGGCCTGCCCTGGTGACTGCCTGCTTGGGCTCGGGGCCTCTGGCCCTGTCGGGCTTTGGCCTGGAGGGGGTGCGTCCTGGGGGCCTGGACCTCTGTGCCTTTTCCTGGATCTGCTCTGGTATGGCGGGTGCCGGTGGGGCCCATGAGTTTGTCGCTGCTGGCCCTGGGAGCTGTGTGTGTGGTCGCTGGGGGGACTCTCCCAGTTCTCCCCTATGGTCTGATCTTGGGGGTGGGTGGGCGGATCTTCCCGTGCAGGTGCCCCTTGGGGCTCTGCGCTCGGGATCCTTCTCGGGCCCTTGGGCTCTGGTCTTCCCTATGTCTGCCTCGTGTCTTGGGGGTTGGGTCTCCGGTCCTCCACAGTCACTATTAAATATTCCATTGGAGAAATCTTGTATATACACAATGTTCACAACTGCTCACAAACAGGTGCTCTGATCCGGGGGGTTCTGACTGGTCACTGAGTGTGTATATATGTCTATGTGTATATACTGACAATATTTATGAATGTAGGCATGTATGTATGTATATCTTTATATATAGTATGTATGGGTATGTATATATATTTATATATGCCCTCCATGTATTTATCCATTTATTTTTCAGGTGAGCGGACAGATGTTGGGTGTGTGGTCCTGTGTTTTGTTGATGTATATTTAATATACTTCTAATCGCTATTTCAATCTTTCCAATTACTTCTCTCTCTGTTTCTCTCTCTGTCTCTATTTTCTCTTCACTTAAAAAAAGTCAATGATGATGAAGAAATAAACAAACTAAAATTTGGTTTTGTTTTCTACTGAAGTGACACCAAAAAAATAAAATTAAATTAAATAAATTAAAAAATAAAACTCCATAAATGATTGTCACTTTATCTGAAGCAAAAGCAGTTCAGATTTTGGATCTTTAAAGTCTGTTTCTGTCTACAACTGCCCGTTCCTCTCCTGGTATCGTCTCAAGTAAAAATGTAAAAAAATAAAAATAATAAAATTAAAAAATGCACATTTTTGTACCAAACAAGAGCTCTGAGTAACCTTCTGGCTAAAAGCAGATTGAAGACTACTTTAGTTCTCACAGTGTAATGCGGCAGCAGATTTAGATGGCACCCAGCTTAATTAGGCGATGAATTAGCCTCATGAACTGCAGCTGACAGCCTGAGGAAGAGGAGGCAGTGATGAGGGAGAAGAGATGACTGGAATCGCTTAAATGTGTGAGGTACCTCCAACTACATGAAGTAGGACTTCTAATGATGAGGCGGAACGGAAAGCCACAGGTCCAAATTGAATTAAAAAGTCTGAAGTGCTAACTTAATGCACACCGAAGTGTYCTTGAGCAAAGTGTGTAACTGAATACGGCTGCAGCAAAAATGCTGGTTTGTTCTCCTGACTGTGTCCATTTGTGTGTGAGAGAGACAGAGCAGCTCTGGATAAACAAGCTTCACCTCTGAAACATTAAACACAGATGAAAGGTTCAGGTCAGCAACTAAATGAAACTAAAATCTTCACAACATCTTTGAAGTAGTGATTAAAATTATAAACATAAAAAAACTGCTGATGGACACTTGAAAAAGTTTGTATGTTTTCGAATATTCAAGAGTGTGGTGAGCTGAACTCGCATGCAAATCACCAACCCTCCCTGCCCCCTTGAGGGTCAATAGGGTATTTGTTGGTCTGGTTTTTATTGCAAGTTATGGAGCAGTTTGGTAGAGTTTGAAAGCATGGAAGTCTATAATTTTACCAGCACGTCAATGTCTGCATCTTTGTTCCTTTTTTGTTTTTTAGCAAAATATCTCATGAACAACAAAACGTATTTAATGATACTCTCAGAAACCAATGAATAGGCCCAAATAAAATATGGAGTCAGTCTGGTTCAAGATGGCCACCACGGCTAATTAACCATGGCAAACATAAAACTGGCTATAATTTAATCAGTTTTACAGATATGGAACTAAAATTTAGTGTGGTAGTAGCTGGGCATCATCCCCATCACATATTTTGAGTGCAAAAAACATTCAAGATCATATTTTTATTGAAAACTTTGGTATGCAAGGATGGTGATTTACACTTTAATCAGTTTGGTTAGAGAAAGATCTTTAGATTGAAAACAAAACATGTCTACAAAAAATCAAAAAGATGTCTAGTTATGTTTGATTAAACTTATTAGGATTAACATTCAATGGATGTGTGAGAATCTTCAAACATCAAAGTATTTTCTTTTCCACTGGTATATCTGAAGTAGGGGAGTAAATCACCAGCTTTATCATGAAACACTATCATTATGATTTGTTTGGATGACAATACAATGTTTCTTGATAACACAAAGTCAATCAATCAATCTATCTATCTATCTATCCATCTATCCATCTATCTGATGTGATATTACATACTCATCTGATTAAATCATTTAGTATGTGATTGTGTTAGATGGGCATATGATGATGATATGATCAATGTTTTCGTTTTGCCTTGATGTAATTGAATCATTGACCATTTARTAATATATCGATGTAAACTTTGTTGTTACAAACCTAATCTGAAGGATATCAAAATGCAATTATGTGACAAGAATTCTTTGAAGGAATGCATATTGCCCCCTGCCTYTCATGCCAGGGTTTTAAACTAAGATCATCTAATGATGAGAATGGATGGTTATAGTTGTTTGGGTCTAATCATTATCTTTTACTCATTTCTTGCTATCAGGATCACCGGGGTCACTGGTGCCCATATCCAGCAGTCACGTGCGGAGCGGGGTACACCAAGTCACATGTCCATCACAAGGCCACACAGAGACAAACGAGACAACTATTCACTCTCTCACTCAAACCTGGGGACAATTTAGMGTTACCACTTAGCCTAACATTATTGCTATTGGTCTGCGGGAGGAAACCGGAGTACTCTGAGAAAACCCACACATKCACATAGAGAACATGCAAATTCTACCCAGAAAGATGTCGGGTCAGGATTCGATCTCACAACCTTGTTACTGAGAGGCAGCAGCTCTAYCAACTGACCCCGGATTTACACTACACGCGTCTCCGCTCCGCTCCGCTGCGCTGTGCAGTTCGCAGCTGTTCATTTGCAACCCAATTTAAACAGTCTCAGCTCCACTCCGGTCCGACAGACAGAGGAGGGAGGGTGTGCAGGAAGGAGATCATGCRATAAATCCTGTGATCAATGTGGAAATCAGAGCAAAAAATAATTATTTCTGTGAAAGAMGAACTCCAAACAGCTGAAAACACTRATATAAAAGCTTTTGATTTCTATGGTTGAAACTGTATCGCTGTCGTCTTTTCGAAACTTCTGATTTCAAAATAAAATCCACGTGTATCGTGTGTTGCCGTCTGCTTCCCAAACAGAACGATACATTCTGACAGCATTTGTTTAGAAATATATCCATATATTTATTAACATAGCTGCAATTTCAACAAAAATGATGGTGTCTTATTTCGTAAATACGATGTTGTACTCATTCCTTTCCTGTTGGTGCAACGTAATCTTTAAAAATTGACTCCGGCGCAGCTCCAGCATCCAGCAGAAATAGGATCAGATCTCAATTTGCTGGATCACCATCCGCTCACCGCCGCTCATCGCTTCCGTGCAGGGCCAGTGTAAATCCTCTCATTGATTATAATGGGTGTGTATTTGCTGTGGAGGTCGGACAGGAGCAGAGCGAAGTCGGAACGCACATAGTGCAAATTAGGGGTGAGCCACCACTAGGGATGGGTACCGAATTCAATACTTTTTTTAAGTACAGACCGAATTCTACTACTGAGAACCTATTCACGTAACATCAAACGGTACCATGATGCGGTACCTAAACGCATCATTGTGATTGTATTGGCGTAAGAGTGGGAGATTTTCCATGCTTGTCCTGAACGCAGCATGGCGCAAGAGCGTAAAGACGTCAGCAGCCGCTGGTTCAGTAAACAGAGCTCAGAACATGGCTTAAAAGTGAGCCTCGCAGCTCCTGGAGTAAAACTCGCCGAACAGACCGCCTCTGAATTATCTGGTGGATTAATTTTCTTGTGAGCACGACGTTCACTTGCTCAAAGTAAATAAAGTACCGCCACTTTCTTCATTTTATCCGCCATTAAACAGAGACTGGCAGAGGAAAACAACAGTCCGATCACATCTGACCTGAAAGAGCACAAGCAACCAGCTTGAAGCGTTGGCCGCGTTTTGGATACTCAAAACGTAGCTTGAATACATTTTATTTACTTAACTCAATCCTCTTTTGCTTATTTGATTTAAACTTATTTGCCTTCCATGGAACTCCATCACACAGTTTTTCTAGCGGGGAAATGACATCAATAGAAATACGTGGAGCTGGATTTTAATTTGTGCAGTAAGACAAAATTGTCTCATTGTTTTCAAGTGTTTTCACCTTAAAGAAATTAGTTAAACAACTGATGTTACAAGACAAAGAGTTGGATGTTGTCTTGATATTTGCTAATTTTATATAATGAGAAATATATAAGTTACAGATGTATACCCAGAGATTACTTTTTGAGAGTTTCATTAAGATTTATCCAGAAGTTCATGGCATATTTT